TGGCAAAATTCAACACAAAATCCATCTCAAATCAGGGCACATTTTGTAATTTTTCTTTAGCGCCGAAGAGAAAAATTTGTAAAACGTCTATGAAACATTTAAAAATACATAAATTCCCTTTCAAAAACGTAATTGTCTTTGCCATAGAGTGCAAAATGTACCTGAAAATTCAGCAAAAACTTCGCTGACTTGGTTGCATTTCAAAACAGACCATTGGCTCCGCCGTGAAGAAAACAAGGTTGAATTCCTCGAAGGACGATTTCTTGATGAAAAGCTTCCCTTTCTCCACAAAAAGGAAAGCTGAGCATTCTTTTGAATTTTCTCTTTCCATTTTTTGTCTTTTAACGGTGTATTTTTAACCTTGAAATGCAGATTTCTTGTCTTTGCACGTGAAGAGCTAAAACTGAGCTCGTATGAAGAATAAGGTTACGGAAATAAGACCGCGATAATATAATGCTGAATTCAGAACAGAGAAAGGTCTTTTCACACTAAAAGGTTAGTCACAGCCACTTCGCCGCGGATGCCAAACCTTCACTCAGGAAATCAAATTGCTGCTTGACCTTATTCGCTTAATGAGGCAAAATATTTGACTGTCAAGGATTTTTTGCCCGATGTGTTAACATTTGAGTCTTAAGGTAAATTTATTCCTTTGTTGGGGAAAAAGAAAAGTGTTTGAGCAGAGATCAAAACGGTTGACTTATTGAAGAAATATTGGATCGCTAACTTTTCCGCATTCCCCAACTTTAAAAGCTACAATTTAGCATCTGGAACACTGGAACTGCAGCCTGATAGTCCCGCACTTAAAAAAGGATGTTTGGGTGTTTTTGGCTAAGCAGAAGGGTTTCCTTTTGTCTTGACAGAAAACGGCTTGGCTAGCATCAAAAGACGTGTTTCAGCAAAATTCCCAATTGCAAATGGGTTAATACTAATAGTAAAAAGAATGCTGATGATGATGATGAAGATAATAATAATAATAACAATCGAAAATGAGAAGCTTATCATTTAGTTCCGAAGTCCATTTTATTGCTGAATATACGGGTAATTTGGAAGGTGAACACTGCCTTGGATTTAGTTCAATCTTTTGAACTCAATAATGATGGTCAATTAAGAAATACATTTGTGTCATGGTCTTTAGCCGTTAAACTGGGAATGCACTTTTCCAGAAAGTTTCCATGACCACCCATTAAGCCACAAGGATTATACCTGAAATGTTATTCATCAGGCCTGAGTTGTTCAAAAGTTGGATAACGCTATCCACCGAATAAATCACTATCCCACGAATAAGTGTTAGAGAAACCAATTGCGCTTTCTAGTGGATAGTGTTTTATCCAGTGGATAGCGTTATCCACCTTTTGAATAACTGGCGCCTGTACTTTTAGTTGTGTTACAAAGACTATTGAGGAAGAGAATGGACCATAAGAACAAGTTTAAAAATAAAGCCAGGGTGATTAAATATGTTCTGCAAGAGTTAAAACGTAGTAAAGAATTCCTATATAAATAATGTTTAATGAGTGTCTTTATATCTGATAAAGATGCGACTAAACTTTACGTCCAATTTTTCAGGCCAAAATAACCCCAAATCTAAATATTAGTGCAAGAATGAGATCTGTATCAGAGATTTTGAAGCCGTTCGAAAATTTCGTTGTCGTGTATTATCGAGTTTTTAAACCTGATAATACACTCCTGCTCGTTTTTTAAACAGTTCACATCAAATTATGAAATATTTAAAGTTGAAGTGAGAGAGGTCTTTCCAAATATTGATTTCTTCCTCTCATACAGTTGTAGCTGCATGATTTGGGCCAAAAGGTAGCATATTTTCTTGAATAAATAAAAGTGTGCTTACTAACATCGCCACCCGGGTTGATTGTGAATATGAAGAGGAGGTTAACTGCTCCCCACAAAATGAGGCTGCGACCCGAAGGGTGAGGGGGAAATACAGTAAGGTGTGTGTTATTACCTTGATTACAGCTCTCGTGTTATCGCTGTTATTTCCTCTGTAGGTCATTAGAAACCTACGATAAGTTTGCAGTTATTCTGGATAGATACATTAGCACGTAATGCAGTACATGTATTGGAAGTACTTAGTTTATAAAAGTAATGCCAGCCGCCCTTCACTCTTCATAGTGTGGAAATCCGAATCTCCCAAAAAAAGAAACATTTGATTTCATTGTGAAATGATGCGAGACCAAGAGAAAGGATTTCCTCCACTGCCTTAGATTTTATAAACGTCAGATTTTTTAGCTACAAATCGCTAATAAGTATTAGGAAAACCAACTATGTCACCCACTGGATAGAGACTTATCCAGTAGATAACGTTATCCCTCTTTTGTAACAACTGCGACCTGAACCTTTCAGGATTACATACCGCCGAAAGTACAATTCCATCCAAAAACGTCATTAGACCAAAGCATTTGGTGTTCTTGCGCACGCATACATTGGTTTTCGATTGAAAACGTTATTGTAGGATGTCTAAAGAGAAAAATATCATTGTATTTTTTCTTTATAATAAGTCTGGCGGAATGCATGAGGCGGGGCAGGGGGGTCCTAAAAGGACTAGTCATGTGGGCGGCTGAAGGGAACATTTTTATTTAGATAAAGAGCAATCAGGAGACACCTTTTGACTAATTATTATCTACAAAAATTGACATAAATAAACAGCACCTTAGTTGCAGTGAATGTGTCAAATAGTTGGCGTTCTAGCACTTTTAGTTCAGTTACCTGTAAACGCAGTCTAGCCTTTACCTATTGTTTTAATTCGTCTGATCCAGGATGATACTGTGAGATTAAGACAAGCTTTACATAGTAAAATTACTAATCGCCAAAGACTAGAAAGCTGTTTTGTTTGATTTGAAAGGTAGAGCTAAATATCTCAGTAGACCCAGAGCGGTAAATTCCCGGGGAGGGAATTTTCGTATCAAAAATACCATGCCCGTTGGAAAATTGGAATTAAGCCCCTCAGTGAAGAGACAAATCTGGGTGTGGGTCCAGCTTGATTTGACCACTGACTCAGTCAAGGAGTGGTCGCGGGAGACTATTACGGCACTGGTGCGAAGGGGACGATGGGAAGGTGGAGGAGTAAAGGAAGTCTTTGCTCCTTCCCATTATCCCCCGCACTTCCCTTTACCACGCTTCTCTCGTTAATATTAATAGGGGACTGAGAGACCTCTGGGGACGAGTCAGGATTTGACCCCAAAACTACAATATAATGACGGCATTTGCTACTTTTATTTAGCTAAATCATTATTAGTCATGTCATCATTTTTATGCACTTGATCAGCCTTTAGATTTCCGTGAGAGGAAATACTCCATAAAAATAGAAAGT